ACGGAGGATATGACAATACATTGGAGCCTGCTAAGGACACCCGGTACCATGACTGAGGACAGAACAAATCGATCAACTATTCCAGCCAAGTGTTGGCAGTGATAATCTGGGCAAATAGAGACTCTAAGGTGGATTTTGTCAATCAGTGGTCTCTGGAGAGATTTCATTGTGCTTGGAGTGGCAAGATTGCAGCAATTCAGAACTGTTGAACTACTGAAACCTCATGAGCAGGACCCTCAGAGCATGCCACACATCGGAGACCCTGGGGTGGTGTCGGGTGGCTGGACCCAAGGGGTAGAGCCATTTGGGAGGCTGCGTGTGGCTTCTCTCCTTATCTTCCCCTAGATATAGGAAGGAAAAAAGAAAATATGGAGAAGGTGATCTCACCCACCTCCCTGTAGCCCTTGACCCTTAACACCCTAATCAACTATATAAAAATCATCAAAAAAAATTTTAAAAACAACAACAAATAAATAAATCTTAAAAAAAAAAAAGAAGAAGAAGTAACACCACAAGAGGTATTCCAAACGCTTAGGGAAATGCAGAGTGTGAAGAAATTGGACACAGTTTGGAATCGTTCTGCATTAAAATCCACATTATCTTTCAGTTCCCTTTTCTGTGGACTTCTTGAAGTGCCCTCATGGCTGCAAGCATAGATCTGCCATGGAAATGTAAGACATACATGGCTTCACTGTTTGGCAAAGGCTGGACACCCATCGGGCCACACGCCCTCACTGTACAGTGAAAGAAATGTCTCAGCCAGCACTGTGTGACCGTGGGTCTGGCTTCCCCTCTCTGGGCTTGTGCCTCTGTCTGCGCCTATAAAATGAAGCAGACTGGGTCAGCTCTGCCAGGCTGGGCCAGTACTCACACAAGCTCATCCTGTGAGACCAGGGAGATGGACTAGGCTGGTGGGTGGGGCACTTGGATGGGTACAATCTAGGATCCCTCAAATTCCCCAGCAGGCTACAGAGTCCTTCCTCGGGGGTTAAAACACTGCTGGGTCCTGGGACTGAGTGACACCAGCATCCTAAACTGGATAAAGCAAGGACCATATGGGATGAACTGATCTCTTCTTCCTCGCCAGCCAGGAGGTTTGCTGGCTTGGAAAGGAGAGAGGTTATGTGCAGAAAGTAGAGTCGGGGAAGCATGGAGGACAAGATGGACTTTGAGGTGGGTTCAACAAAGGGAACAGAAATGGCCCAAACCATTTATCCATTCCTTAGGCCCTCTGACCAGGGACCCTCTGGAGTAATCTGGCTGGGAGGAGGAAGGAGGCCATGGCTACATATGTTGGTCTTCTGAGTTTGGGTTGGAGGGAAGGGTCCACGGCGGGCATCCTGTTTAGGTTAGGAAGGGGAAGCTTCTGGGACCCAAGTTGGTGTTGGTAGACAGCAATATGGGTAGGGGCGTTTTGCTTCCCTTTCTCAAATCCCTGGCTTCTTCCTCCAGGGCAATCACTGATTGAGAAGCTACTGGCATGGAATATGCCAAGCTCCTGCCTGGCAGGAGAGTCCTTGCCCAGAGACAGGTGTTAGAACAGCTAGGAAGGCAGATCAATGGTTACGAGCAAGTGGAAAGAAAGTTAAGAGAGAGACTTGCTTCTACTGGTTTATTCCCCAAAGCCCAGGCTAGGTTAGGCCAAAGCAGGAGTTAGGTGCTCAATCCAGGTCTTACATGGGAGTGATAGGGACCCCACCACTTGAATCCAGCTCTGTAGTAGCAGGAAGCTGAGACCTGAAGAGGAGCCAGGACTTGAACCCAGGCACTCCCATACACGATGTAGGCATCCCAATGCAGTGTCTTAACTGCTAGGCTGAAGGCTGACCCTTGAAACGGACATCACAAATCATCTGTAATAAAAATTCACAAAGGATGAATCCAGAATGATGTAGTCAGAAAATGGCAGAGCTGCGCCGAAGACCCAGGTCCTTGTGAGGGCTGTTAGGCTGCAGCCTGAGCTCATGTCATACCAAATACAGCTCCTCTTTTCCATGTCAAGGGGCACCACTTCCTCTAACTCCACTGGCGAGCCATTGAGGGGGAGAGAAGGGCTGAAGGAGTGGGCCTCAACATCTGCTTGGAAGGGGACATAGGAAAGGAAGGACACTGGCAAGGATCCTGGTGATCACGGGGATGGTGCAGCCCTTTCATTTGAACCGTGGAAACCAGAGACCCTGTCCACCCTGAGGAATCACTAGGCCTACAGCCTAGTGAGGACAGAGCTGGAACTGGAAGCCAGGCATCCCACTTCCCTTCCACCCATTTCCCATTGTGAGCTCTTGCTGCCTATAGAAAGGGCTCTTTACTCTTCTCATTGTCACTCTAATGCCTTTAGATGCTCCCTGCCCCTGGGCTTAGCCCCAGCTCTCTCCAGCATCCTATGCCCAGGACACTGACCCATAGGCCATCTCCAGGCACGCATGCCTCTTGCCTTTGCTCACACTCCTTCCCACTTTCTATCTGTCCAGCAAGCTCCTACTCCTCCAAGACGCAGTCCAGTGTCACTTCTATGAATCTTCACCTAGGACACTCTGTTCCTGACCTCCTACTGAGGGAGTAGCTCCCTCTTGGCCACTCCCAAAGTGCTCTGCACAAAACAGTACGAGAGTATTCTGTTGCAGTGACATCGTGTGTGTGTGTGTGTGTGTGTGTGTAGAACATAAGTGTTTTCTGCTTTTGTGATTTCGGCCTTACTTGCTTGGCTGGGGGCTGTGTGAGCTCCAGGCCTGACAATCTACGTGACCCCCGCAGGACACCTGGCAGGTCACGTGGGCAGAGTACTCCTCAGGAAGGAAGTACCTGGTGTTTGATAAGACCCACTGCCCTATAGCCCATTAGTCTGTACTTTTTGAAAGTTGCTTGCTTCAAACCCACCAATAGAAGCCTGCCAACTTGCTCATTTTAAAAGTTTACAATTAAACTGACCAATCATGACTGTATAATTATATGGAATTGGCCTGAAATATGTAAGAATATGTAAGAACCCTGTGCAGTTGAACCTCAGCCACGTTTTTGTTTTGTTTCCTCTGGACCCTCTTCTGCCCCTTCTGCTGCAGTTTTTCCTGCTTCGGCCACCTTGGCGGAGGCAGTGGCCGCCACTGGGGCAGCTGCTACTGCTCCCCAGTCCTGCTGGGCTGGGAGCCTAGGTTAGTTTTGAATAAACCACCTTTATGCGTTTGTATTGACTTCAGACTCCTGGTGATTTTCTGGGGATCACAAAATCCTGGCACAACATGTGTATGCATGTGTGTGCTGTGCATGACATGGGAAAGCATAATCTACTATATGACTCAGGCACCCAAGAACGAATGAATTAGTACCTCTTCAGTAACAGCGTATGGATGCATGTGTGTGCGCACACACACACACACGCGCACACACACACACACACACACACACACACACACACACACATTCATGAACACCGTAAGCTACTTCAGGGGTAGATTCCATTTCATCTGGGAAAGAAGAGGTTCAAAGGAAAGACTCCGGTATGATTGACCAGGAGGCTTAGGCCTTCAAAAACACAGGTGTTCCCTGCACCTGGACCCCATTTAATCCAAAGGGCAAACATTTCTGGCCCCCCAAATAGCAGCACTGGTTTTGTAACCCCCTTCCCTGTGTACCTACTTAGGGTGTGGTTCAACTCCCAGTCACTCAGCCTGTGTTGTGTGTGATCTTGCCTTTCAAGGGTGTGGTTCATGACCCCAGTCTTGGCTGCACATTTCGTGCCTGACCTTGAACACCGCATTTATTCCCTCTGAAATCTCATCCCAAGATGGGGACAGTTATCCCTGCCTCTTTATCTCAGGTAAGAACTAAGCCACCAAAGGTGCTTTGTTTCAGATCATTGCAAATGTAAGAGACAATTTTAGGGGGTTAGTTTGCTACCCCCCCCCATTCCCTTTCTGCCTCCTTACCTTCCCTAGCCCCATATTACCCAGAACACCTGTTCTTCAGTGACCCCCTCTTCACCAAAGCTCTCCTCCTTAGAGCATGCCAGGTTAGGGTTCTTGCTGTTTTTCTTGATGCACAGGAGCACTGACTTCCTTCAGAACCTTCTTCACTGCCCACCCCACTCTGGGTCCACCCCCAAGGTTGCCTGTGATGGCAGGGACCCCACTCTGCAGTCCCCCAGCCAGGGAGCACACTGAGAATGGAAATCAAGAAACCCACATCCCTTGGTTAAGTTGCTCAACTTGGGGCTCCTTTGAAAACGGTTTCTGTGCCTCCAGCAGGGGTCTCCTCCACTGACAAGTAGCAGAAATGGCTGGATGCCAGCCGCCTGGGCATTTATAGCATCCCTTTGCAGGTGCAGTAAGAACTTGGGGGTCTAATTTTGATTGTCGCAGGTGTTACCTGGGTCTAAGTTTCCCCACACGGAAATGGGAAGACTAGGGAGAGGGGATTAGGAGGAGATACTCATGGACTCGCTGAACTCATCTACTTCCCAGGTAAGACTGCTGTGGGGTCCAAGGAATTCTGTGGGTAACAGGGCAGAAGGTCCGTTTCGCAGGAAACGCAATTGCAAGCTGACAGTGGGCAAGTTTGGTCCCCTGTAAGCCAGCACGCATCTTCTGACTTCTCGTTGTGCTTTGGAGTCCCCAGGCTTTTCCATGGTTGGATCCACAGAGCACAGAGGACTAGGGGTCCTGCGGGGAAGCGAACTCCCTAGAGCCATGGGTAAGAAGTTGGCGCCTAGGGCCCCTGGGTCATTTCCGCGTGCGCACTCGCAGTGTAGGGAATATGCAAGGCAGGTGTTTCCTTGCGTACCTATGGACGTGCGAGCGCTTTTGTGTCGCCGTTCCCGGATCCCGGAGCGCCGGCGCAAGCCCCGTAGATTTCCTTGCTGGACATGCCAGGAGCCCAGCTCCCCACTGCCGGTGTCGCCCTGGGTCTCCGCGCTAGCCCGGGGAGAATCGCGAGCTCCAGAAGGCGCGTTTGCCCTCAGAAGACCCCTCATTTTCCAGCCTTCCACCTTTGCAGGTGCGCCTTACCTGCCTCTCTGCAAGGCTCCGAGGGCAGTCGCCTGCTGGGTGGCCTGGGCACCGCGCGCCTCTGCGCTCCGCGGTTCCCGCTGCGCTGCCCCTGCGCCCAGCACGGTCCCCGCGCCCTCCCGACTCTGCGCTCCCACCCGCGCTCCGCTTGCTTTTCCCTCCCTGAGGGCGTCCCTTCCCTGGCCTCGCCCGGCCCCCAACACACCCACTGCTCCCAGGCTGGTTTCGGATGCCTCCGCCCAACTCCCCAGGGCCTCACCCTTCTGCGGGCTCTCTTCCGTCCCCTGCAGCGTCTGTTTCCTGGACCTGAGACCCGTTGACCTCTGGGTTTGCTTGCCCTCAGCCAGTGTGGCTTGAGGCCGGTCTCCCCCAGGAGGCTGAGCACTGGGGCGCTGAGGGCATCAGGCCTGGCTGTGCAGCCCTGGGCGAGTCACTGACCCTCGCTGGCCTAAGCTTCCTTGCTGTGAAATGGAGACAGCTACACACACACACACACACACACACACACACACACACACACACACACACACACACACACGCTTCCCAGCCTAAGGCTGAGGTCGCATGAGCTCTTAGAACCCCAAAATATTAGAAACCCTTTGCGTACACGTGAACATGCTTTTCCAGACGGAAGGCAGACACCCAGCCTGGGACAGCAACTTCCCATTCTCACCAATCAAACCTGTGGCCAAGGTCAGACTAAAAAAAAAATCTCCCCTCCCCTCCCCCGGTCGGTGCAGTGGCTCACAAGGCTAATCCTCCAACCGCCAGCACAAGCATTCCATATAAGCACCGTTTCTAGTCCTAGCTGTTCTTCTGATCCAGTCCTGCTATGGACTGAGAAAGGAACAAAAGATGGAACAAGTTTTTGGCCCCCTGAACCCACGTGGGAGGCCCTGGCTCCTGGCTTCAGATTGATTCAGGTCCTGCTATTGTGGCCATTTAGGGAGTGAATCAGCCCCTGAAAGCTCTCTTTCTGTGTCTCTCTTTTTGTAAATTTGCGTTTCAAATAAAAATAAATGAATCTTTCTTTTTTTTTAAACCTGTCCCAGCTCTCCCCTAAGCCCTAGCAGCTAAGGACTGACTGCCCTGTACATGGTCCCACCTTATAGTTCCTTAACTCTGAACTCTCTGAAACTGTGGTATCTTACCACCAGCTGCTCACACTAGCTCCTCATTCTCACCTTTGCAAGTTGCAAAGAAGAGAAGCAGTCAGCAACAAAGAGCCAGCTGATTGGTAGCACCCGGAGGGCAGTTATTGGGAAGTCTTCCCACCCCCTGCTGTAGGGATGTCACTGCCAGAGCTACCCCTAGTAGACTCTAGGCTTACCTCCCCATAACTAACAAGATACTCAGGTAGGCTCTCTCCCTTGCAAAAACCCAAGAGAGTTGGGGTTAGAGTCAGGACAAAGCCTCCACTCTGGTGTGGAAGAAGCACTCTGTTTTCCCCGGGCTGGGTATTTTATACTAAATCAGTCATCTCCATCAGAACCCAGGGCTTCCGTGTTCATATGTTTGGCCCCTGGGTTCCTTTTCCTCTGCGGTGATATCTCTGGGGAGTTATCTGACCTCTGAGGCATGCAGTCCCAACTTGCAGGCAGCTTCAGAGCCAACCCAAGAAGGTGCTTGCTTGAATCAAGGAGTCTTTTGGGCTCCGATCCAGATCTGGGGTGGAGCCCAGAAACCAGAAATTAAACAAAAACAAAAACAAAACAACAAAAAAAACCTCAAGATTCCTCAATGATTCTGATGCAGTATTTCTTGACGTTAAACCTTGAAGTTAAACTGGCTCAGTGCCCGTGCCCCCAACGAGGCCGGCCTTGGATCTTGTGTTGACTTTGTGGGATGGTTTACGGTGGCTGTTGAAAGTAACTATTGACCCACTTCATCAGCCAGATTGCGAGTCCTTTGAAGGGAAGGATTATCTCTTGTTCTCATAACGTTTTTGGGATCCTGGACTGTGGGGAGTTCTGGAATCAAGGACTGAAAGAGCCTTAATTAGAAGTGTTTTCCAGGCAAACCCCTCACCTTGTGGATTCTATTTCATTTTAAAGTTATCTTTAAAGAAATGTTATCTGTTTTATTTATTTGAAAAAGAGAGAGAGAGAGAGAAAGTCAGAGATTTCCATCTGTTACTTCATTTTGCAAATGCCCCCAAACAACCGCAGCTGGGGTAGGCAGGGGCCAGCAACTCCACCGGGTCTCCTCTGTGCTCAGCAGGAATCTAACCCCTTGAGTCACCACTGCTGCCTTCTGGGAATTGCATCAGCAGGAAGCTGGAATTGGAAGCAGAACCGGAACCTGAGCCAAAGCACTTTGCTATGGACTGCGGGCATCCCAGCCCACATCTTAACTAGCCAAAGGCCTGCACCTGCATTTTATTTTTTGACATGAGCCTGCCTAAAGATATTTCTTTACACACTTGTGGTAACAGGGAGCTCATTGCTTCCAAGGCAACCAGGTTGTTCTGATTGTGGAAAGTCTCACACTTAGACAAAAACCACCTTCTGTTGACTGCCACTTGTGCCCATCGGAGGCATAAAGTGTAAGCCTAATAACTCCATGTTCCCCCTTTTCAGTCTTTCAAAACACAAGGCTTAGCCTCCATTTCCCAGTCTTTGGAGTGAGTCTAGAACAGGAACCCTGTTAGAGAAGGCAAGCTGGCCAAGGAGCCATTAAAAGAGGAGTAAGGGGACCTAGCACCATAGCCTAGCAGCTAAAGTCCTTTCTTGTTCGCCCCAGGATCCCATATGGGCACCAATTCTAATCCTGGTGGCTTCACTTCCCATCCAGCTCCTTGCTTGTGGCCTGGGAAAGCAGTTAAGGATTGCCCAAGCACTTGGGACCCTGCAGCCACGTAGGAGAACTGGAAAGAAACTCCTGGCTCCTGGCTTCGGATTGGCTAAGCTCCAACTATTGCAGCCATTTGGGGAGTGAATCATCAGATGCAGGATCTTCCTTTTTGTCTCTCCTCCTCTCCATGTATCTGACTTTCCAATAAAAATTAATAAATCTTAAAAAAGTAAAGAGGAGTGAAGGCCTGGTGCAGTAGGTCCGTGGTAAAGTCCTTTCCAGGATCCCACATGGGCACTGGTTCATGTCCCAGCTGCTCCACTTCCCATCCGGCTTCCTGCATGAGGCCTGGGAAAGCGGTAAAGGACAGCCCAAAGCTTTTGAACCCTGCACCCATGTGGGAGGCTCAGAAGAAGCTCCTGGCTTCAGATTAGCCCAGTTCTGGCCGTAGCAGCCATTTGAGGAGTAAACCAGTGAATTAAAGATATTTCTCTTTGTCACTCCTTTGCTCTGTAAATCTGACTTTCCAATAAAAATAACATTTTTTTTTTTTTTTTTTTAAAGAGGAGTCAGTGGCGTCATTGCCCCAGCTGAGCCCTGTGGTCTTGTGTGTCAGGTGTCTAGAGTGGGGCTTAGTGGTGAGGCAGCTGCTACATAAATGGAAGCTTCTGTGGGTATTGGAGGAGAAGGGAAAGGCAGAAACAGAGCTTCTACCCCTAGGGACCATTCAGGGGTTTCCCAAATCCCAAGCCACTGGAGATAAGACCCTACTTTCCCTGTCTTGTTTTGCAAAGCGCCCAAGCAGATGATTCTGATCTATTTTTCTTTTCTTTTTCTTTTCTTTTTTCTTTCTTTCTTTCTTTTTTTTTTTTTTTTAAAAAAAAGGTTGTTTGTGGCTCCTGCTGCATCACTCATAGCTCTAGCTAAGAGTGTTCCCTGGCTCTGGGTTCTGCCCTACTTCCTTCTCTTTCCCCCAGAGAAAGCAATGATGCTGGAATATGTCAAGCTCCAGGGTATTTCATGATCCCAAAGTGGCTTGTCCATCTCCCAGTAGAGCCTCCCTAGGGCTGCTGACTAAGGCCACCTGCTTCCCATGGGGACCGGACAGATGACAAGGCCCATTCTCAGTGTTCTTACAGCCCAGGAGCTTCCCTTTACCAAGCACTTGCTATCCTGTGTTGTAATCATTTCTGATATTTGCAGACTCCACTCCTGGATCATGAGTCCCTTTGTGGACACTGAGTCAATCCTAGTCCCAAGTGTAGCAAAGGCTGTAGGAGAAATCTGTTAAAAGAATGAATAATGGGCCTGGAGTGGTAGCCTAGTGGCTATGGGGCACTTCTGGGATCCCATATGGATTTTGGTTTGGGTCCCAGCTGCTCCACTTTCCTTCTAGCTCCTGTTTGTGGCCTGGGAAAGCAGTAGAGGACAGTCCAAAGCTTTGAGACCCTGCACTTGCATGGGAGACCCGGAAGAAGCCCCAGGCTCCTGACTTTGGATTGGCTCAGCTCTAGTTATTATGGCCACTTAGGGAATGAACCAGTGGATGGAAAATCTTTATTTGTCTCTCCTTCTCTCTGCAAATCTGAATTTCCAGTAAAAGCAAGCAAACAAACAAATAAGTATATATATTTTTTTATGAAGGAATGATGGCTAAGAAGGGGAAAGTCTCCAGGGAACTGTATGCAGGGAATGCTTCTAAGAAGAGATGGAAAGGGAGAAAGACAAGAGGGACAGCAGAATGTTCCTTCCCCTCTGAGTAGCGGATCTCATCCTAACTGCCCACCTGATGCTGTGTGGCCTGTGCTCGGGATGGCATTTCAGGACTGTCATACTTCACCCTCACGCCCCTTAGTCTGTGTGTCTCAGTGGATGGCACCAGCTTCTCCCTAGTTTCCTCCTTGTTTTCTTCTTGAAAATCAAGGCAATCTTCTATGTAACTTTATACCAGGAGAGTTCAAAAGTACATGGAAAATACAATTGAAGATAAGTTTATTTTGGTGATAAATTTTTTAAAAAAATAATAGATTTATTTCTTTACTTGAAAGGCAGAGCTACTGGGTGGGGGGGATGGTAGGAAGAGAGAGAGAGAGAGAGAGAGAGAGATCTTCCACGCACTGGTTCACTTCTAAAATGGTCACAATAGTCAGGACTGGGTTGGATCAAAGCCAGGAGCCAGGAGCTTCTTCTGAGTCTCCTATATGGATGCAGGGATTCAAGCATTTGGGACATCATCTGCTACTTTCCAAGGCATATCAGCAGGGAACTGGATCAGAAGTAGAGCAGTTGGGATAGAAACCA